GGCGGGCGCGGGGCTGGCGCCGCGTTTCCACAGGGCTGCGTTCCCATGGGATGGCCCCGCGCGCTGCCCTGGGATGGCCCCGCGCGCATCCCCGAGCTTGTGCCGAGCGCGCCCTGGGCTCGCGCTGTGCGTGTGTCCTGCTTACAGCCTCGGGGCTTTGCACGATGGGCATCCTCGGGCTTTGCACGGTGCATGTCCCCGAGCTTGCACGATGGGCATCCTCGGGCTTTGCACGGTGCCCGTCCATGGGCTTTGCACGGCGCGTGTTCCCACACTTGCAGTGTGCATCCCTGGGCTTTGCACGGTGCGCGTTCCCAGGCTTTGCACAGTGCGCTTGCCCAGCGCTGCAGCGTGCACAGCCTCAAACTTGTGTTGTGCACGTCCCCAGCGCTTGTACCGTGCGTTTCATCTGGGTTGCAGTGTGCACGTCCCCAGGGTTTTCATGCCCCTGTGTTGCGTTGTGCACAGCTTTCGGGATTGCACCATGCGCATCCCTGAGCTTGTGCCGAGCACGCCCTGGGCTCGTGCTGTGAATGTGTGCTGTTTACAGCCGGGGTTGCCCTGCTTACAACCTCAGGGCTTTGCACGGTGCGTGTCCCCGGGTTTTGCACTGTGCATGTCCCCGAGCTTGCTCAATGGGCATCCCTGGGCTTTGCACGGTGCACATTCCCGGGTTTTGCACTGTGCATGTCCCCAAGCTTGCACAGTGGGTGTCCCTGGGCTTTACACAGTGCACATTCCTGGGCTTTGCACAGTGCATATTGCTGGGCTTTGCACTGTGCATGTCCCCGAGCTTGCACAATGGGCATCCCTGGGCTTTGCACGGTGCCTGTCCATGGGCTTTGCACAATGTGCTTGTCCAGCACTGCACGTGCACAGCCTCAAACTTGTGTTGTGCACGTCCCTAGCGCTTGTACCGTGCGTTTCACCAGGGTTGCAGTGTGCACGTCCCCAGGGTTTTCATGCTGGGGTGTTGCGTTGTGCACAGCTTTCGGGATTGCACCATGCACATCCTCAGGCTTGGGCCATGCACGTCCCCAAGGTTTGCACTGTTCACGTCCTCGTGGTTGGCAGCACTATTTCATAGAGTCACAAAATCGTTTCCCCGGGGCTGTGCCGTGCACGTCCCCGGGATTGCAGGCTGCACACCCAGGGTCTGCGCTGTGCATTTCCTCAGTCTTGCACTGCATACAAGCTCAGGGGCTCTGTCTGTGCGTGCTCCAGGCTGGCGCTGCGCCCTTCCCCTCCTTTGCCTCGTGCACCATTCCTGGAGCTCTCACTGTGCGCGCCCCCAGCTTTGCACCGCGCACAGTGGCCGCAGCTTGCACCGTGCACTTGCCGGTGTCGCGCTGTGCACGGCGTCTGGAGCTGCAAAACACTCTTCAAGGCTACAGTTCCCTCGATTTGTACTTTTGTTTTTTGCAAAGTTACGTAAGGCCACATGGACGTAAGGGCAGGGGAGTGGATTGCTCTAATGTGTCGAGTTGCAACAGTGCCCAGCTGCGCTGCCACCCCCTCCAAGTCCCTTTAGCTGCCCAGGTTCCCTTTTGCACCAGGGCTGAGCAGCACTCGAGGCTTAAACCTCATCCTTCTTCTCCTGCTTCGGTTAATTTGGAGATGCAGCTACCCAATAGCATCCATCAAGGGCAAAGCTGGCACCAGCGGCAGGAAGGAGGGCCAGGAGATGCCCAAATCCTTGGGAGGATTTTAGTGCTCAGCACATGGGAACGGGAGGCTGAGAGCCTCCCCTTTGGGAGGAGGATGCTCCCTCTTTGCCAAGCCCTGGGAAAGCACTTTGCTCACAAGGACTTTATTATTAGCTGTTTTATCTGTCTCCAAAGTTTGCAAAAGGAGAATTAAAAAAGAAACACAGACGCATGAGAGCAGCTCAGTGCCTGGAAGAGGCTTCCAGGAAGCCTCTTTCCTCCCCTGCTTTCTTCCGGCCGCAGGGCTTTCCCCAGCTACACTCCCACGCTTGCAAACCGTGTAGGACCGGATCACCTGGAAATACGGGTTCGGTGCCGGCGATCGCCTTTCCAGGGATTTGCCAGCGCGTTTTCCTTGGGCGCGGAGCGTGGGCTCGTCGCGAGGAGCCGGGGGGCGCGCGGGGTCTCGTCCGTGCTCGCTCCGGGCTCTCCTGCCGCGGGGATTTGCAGCTGCCGGCGGCGATTCCGCAGGCGCTGGGTGTTTGCAGACGAGGTGCGGCCGCCGCCGGCAAACCGGTTGCGCCGCTTCCGCCCTCCCCTTCGCCGCAGGCTGCCCGGACACGTCGCCTTTGCGGCGAGCCGGAGCCGGGAAGCAGCTCTGGAGGTGAGAAAAGAGGGATACGTGGTGGGATTCACTGCGCTGACACAGGGGAGATGGGAGATGGAGCTGCTACATCCTCCAAGAAATCTGCTTTTCCCAGGACAGGTTGGAGGCCCCGTGTTATTTTGTTGTAGTGAAAGAGCTGGGAATTCAGGCAGAAGCTTGGATTTCTTTCAAAGGATCCTGCTGGGCATTGAGGCTGGGTGCCGGCTGGCGTTAATGGGATGCGTCAGCTGCGGATGAGCTTCCAGGGCTTCGGAAGAGGCTTGTGGGATATCTAGTCCGGATGGTTTTTCTGTCAGAAAAGAGCTGGCTCCGGACCCACGTGCGCTTTTGCATGGGTGGAAATGTCCAGCTGAAGTGTTGTGCTGGGAAAGGAGCTGCAGGATAAGAAGCAGCATCGGGGATCCGGATGCATCTTTTAATCCCGAGTGGATTTGGGTGCATGGGACGGGGGGGATTAATAGGCAATCCAAGCGCTTCGCATCAGTACGGAGACCTGCAGACCTTGGCTTCTGCATTAGGGTTTGCAAGATGGAAACCTTACAAAAAGACGGGGGAAAAAGGTGCGTTTTGGGGCCGGCTGCGCGAGGCCAGCGCAGTGCCGAGCTGCTGGCGCTCCAGCTGGCTCGTCCCCAGCCCCGCTCCCTTCCCCCTGCCCCGAGCCGCCGTTGAGGCCGCTTTTGTCCCCGCACGCCGCGTGACGGTCACGTGCGCCCGCCCGGCGCCTCCCTCCTGCCTTCGTCCGCTGGGAACCCGCTGCCTCCTCTTCATCCCGGTGCCAGCCCCGTAGCCGCTCCGCGTTTCCTTCCCACGCGTCGGATCCGTCACCTAAGGGGCTTTTCCTCCTCTCCGGCTCCGCA